CCCCCCCCCCCCCCCCCCCCCCTGCAGCCCTTTGAGCTGGGCAAGGTTCAGCTCATCCCTGTCTTCTCCTCGGTCTCCGTCTCCTAGAGGCGGAGAGTACACCTCTCCCCGCTTCTGCCTAGCACTCGATCCCCCTGCTGGGGTCTGCGGGGGGGCAGCCCACCCCCATAGCTTGAGCCAGCTGGGATGGCCCCAGCCCTGCACCTTCCCCAGCCATCACATATGTGGAGTGTGGGGCAGGGGCTGGGAACAACCCCCCCCCCCCCCGCCCCCCCACTGCTGTTTCATATGGAGTCATGGCTCGGCCTCAATTCGCCAAGGTCTGCCTGGTGTGATGAGAAAAGCACCCTGTGAGGATTTTTTTGTATCCCTAGAGCTTGGAGCCAGCGAGCCCCACTCCCTTCTCAGCCATCTGGCTGGGGAAGGAGTGGGGCTAGGGCTGTCGTAGCCCAGCTCTGAGCTGCAGGTAGACAAAAAGCCCCCAGGGTGGGTGCTTTCCCTCACACCAGGCAGACCCTAGGTGGGGGAGGACAGTGCCCTCTTGAAAGTGGGTTTCCCACCCCTTACCCCTCTTGAAGGTTACAGCTGAGGAGGGGGTGGGACTGGGTACTTCTCCATTCTCACCTGCTCCCCCCACCGCTTCTCCTGTCTCCTCTCAGAGCCCAAAGGCTGGGGAAGGGGCGGCGTTGGGGTGAGCTGGCACAGGGTGGGAAGACCTCTGGCAGGTGCCCTCTCCTGCATCCCGCAGACCTCAACTGCCAGTCAGGCCTGGGCTGCCCACTGAGCTGGGTTCAGCAACCTTAGATAGCCTGGCCATGAGGGGTGGCCCACTTGAGTGCCCCCAGGCTCCTAGCATGGGTCAATGCAGGCTTCTGCCTGTCTTGGCCACCCAAACACTAAATGGGAGTTCAGTTTGTTGCCAGTTCAATCTACGCAGCTTAGAAAAAACTGCAAAGATAGAATCTGTTTTGCCTGGGGCCTTTTGAACCTCTGTACTTAGCCCTAGACCAGTGCTTCCCAAACTTTTCCTCAGCATGATTCCATTTATGGCCCCATTTCCTCAGCATGGCCCTCCCTCCCAACCCCCAGCCCCTCCACCCCTGTGACCCCATCCACTGATGTTGC